AGATTGTGGCATCTTGTGAGTATCCCGCACAGAGTCCGCAAGCATGCAAAAGGCTCATCCAACCCAGGAACAAAAAAAACGCAGGGGGGGCGATTCGACCCTTGAACCGGCACCAACACCAACACGGGAGGCTGCCTCCACAGGGCAGGGCGATCCTAGATGTGGGTGCTGGTGGTAGTGGTTCGGCCACTCAGAATGTTGCTCGGCGGTGGACAAGCCTCCCTTTGGTAAACCACCCTTCAATGAAAACGGCCTAGGACCGACGGGCCTGGACCCGCAAAAATGACGGCCGCGACGCCCTCTCGCGAATCGAAAACGGCCGATTCGCTAATCGACGTGTCAAGGTAGGAGGTCTATCGACCTCCGAGTTACAACCATCACCGAGGTCGGGAGCCTCTTCCCTCGCTGAAGGCACACCGCCGATCTCGGTGCTGGTGTGAACCTCTAGGCCTCCGAGTACTTCGACCACGGAGAGGCGGAGGAGGCAGGCGAGGAGGAGGCCAAGAGGGCAGACGAGGAGGACTACGATTAGGTCGGGCGTGTCCTCCCACAGGCGAATTTTGGACGCAGCAAATACTCAACAAATGCTAACCAATACCCAAAAAGTCGTCCCCCGACTATTGTTCATACTATGCTTGAACATTCCTCCTGTAGAGGACCGTGTCCGACTTAAGACTACGATGTGGAGGAGGTGCTGGAAGCGGCACAGGGGGGCGCAGAAGGCAGAGTTGCACGACCCACCAGCTGAGCTGCGAGGGCCGCCTGCTGATCTACGCTGGCCACGCACTGACGCACGAGGACCACCGCCTGAGCAGGAAGGGCGGCAAGCAGAGCTCCGATGCCCTCTGCCTGATCTGCGAGAGGCCCCCAGCTGAGCCTCGAGAGCTGCCAGCCGAAGTACGAGGGCCACCAGCAGAGCTACAGCGGCAAGAAGCAGTCTTTCGAGGGCCATCGGCTCAGCTTTAGGTCGGGCATGTCCTCGTACAGGCGGGCTCAAGAAGAAAAAACAACAATAGTCAAAAAATGCCCAAACATACTCCGAGATTCTTGATAAGCGTCGGGGGGGGCATCATCCCTGCCGACAGCCCCGCATCGACCCCCGTCGCGGGCAGCCACCGCGCGCCGAAGGCGCTCCGACCCACGTCGCGGCGCGACGACGAGGCGAGGCTGACCCCCATCGGGGGAGACCGCCCCACGCTTATTGAGAAACCCAGAGTCGCCAAATGCCTGACTTATAAGCTCAGCTACGAGAGCCGCCAGCAGAGCCACGACCGCACGTCAGCAGATATACAAATAGCCAAACATGCGCAAATATAGCCCAAAATACAAAACGAAACAAAAAAAGTCCCCAGAGCACTTGTGGACTGTTCTTGACTACTCCTCCTGTAGAGAGGGACGTGCCCGACTTACAACGGGGGCGAGTCCACGAGAAACCTTCCGCCAGAAACCCAACACCGAGACCCCAGGACGAAAATCGATTCCTGGTATGGGGACGCCACGCCTGCCATGGCAGCACCATCGAGACCCACGAAGCCCGGGGCACCCTGGAGGCATGCAGGGTGCTTCTTGGCATGGGTCTGTACTGTAAGCTCAGCTGCGAGGGCCGCCAACAGAGCCAACAAATACTCGAATATGAAAACATTCATTATATATACACATGTATATAGTATATACATATACACATGGATTCCCACAAAGAAAAAAAGTCCCCAGAGCACTTGTTCACTAGTCACTAGTCCTCCAGTAGACGGACGTGCCCGACTTGCAAGCTCAGCTGCGAGGGCCGCCAGCAGAGCCACGAACGCGCGCCCCGCAGAGCCACGGCGGCCACACAGAGCGCAACTCCAACGGCCCGGCGCGGAGCCCAGGAGGGCCGCCGCCGGCGCGCAGCTGCGAGAGCCACCCCCGCGCAGCTGCCGAGGGCAGCCCGCCAGAGCTCCGAGGACTGCCGGCGGAGCTGCGAGGGCAGCCAGCAGAGCTACGAGGGGGAACGAGGAGCGACATAAACATGATAACTCGGAGGTCCGCGCGGATGTCTCGGATCCGCGCTGGGGCCCCCTGGCGGCGCCTCTGGCGCCGCCCCTGGCGCCGCCCCTGGCGCGCTCCGCGCGCCAGGGAGGGGGGTCCAGCGCCGATCCGAGAAATGCGCGCGGACCTCAGAATTCTATGTTTGTGTCACTTTTCGTTCCCCTATACGAGGGCCACCCGCCAAACTGCGAGGACGACAAGCAGAGCTTCGAGGACCAGCGGTCGAGCTCCCGGAGCCAAGAAACCCAGGACGTCCATCGGTTTTCGTGCGGGAGCGTCACGCTCTCCATAGCAAAAGCATCGAAACCCAAGAAACCCATGGCACACATCGATTTTCGTGCGGGAGCGTCAAACTCTCCATAGCACAAGCATCGAAACCCAAGAAACCCAGGGCACCCTGGAGGCAAGCAGGGTGTCTCTTGGCATGGGCCTCCACTGTACGAGGACGATAAGCAGAGTTTCGAGGGCCAGC